AAGCTACAGCATCCGTCTGTGGCTACAAGAAGGCCAAGCAAAGCACAACATTGTGTCAGTCACAAGGGATGAAACAGAGATGATGTATGCATAACAAAACCCCAGAACCCTCCATTTGTTTCAAACCATTCACTTTCTCTATGTGTTTGCCCACATTTGACAGTGGCACAGTCCAGAGACTATTCTTTAAAAAGGGCACGAGTGATTTTATTAAGAGCAGTGCATCTTCATCAGGCAGGGTTCTGGCTCACAATGACTTCATCCCGGGACTCGTGGAACAGAAAGCCTTCGAGTCAGAGATACAGACACGTATGCTGCTACTAGCATAATGTGACTGGGCTGGAAACTAAGAAAGTCTTATGACCAAACAACTCACACTTTGTTCCATTAAGTATCTTACATAGAGAATAGCGACTGCTATTTCCTGCTACATATCCCCTACGTGTGTGCATTAGGCAGCAACATGCAAACTCAGATCCTTTAGAGTGGCTGACCAAAACGAGTGAGGGGTTTCTCATGAGGCAGTGGGAAGTTCTCCCCCTTGAGTGGCTACAGAAGAGCTTTGCATTCTTCACATGACTTCAGGTTAGTTAACTGAGGTTTTGTTCATTCATAAAATAAAGCTGAAACAATCGTTTAATAGATAAAACTATTAAACCGTTTTCTCAATACGGGCCGATGTTATTATGCCCTCCTGTACGCTTCAACAGAGCCTGTGGTTTGAACTTTATCCACTTATAACACAAACCTGTGGAACCAGGTTTAATGACTGAAATCAACAGTTTGTACCTAATTGGAATCAAATGAACTAACAACTGCTGTTTGGAGACAAGAGGGACCACCATGTTTACACAGAGCTACAGGACGCTCACATCAAGAATAGGGCTGCCACAAACGATTATTTTGATAGTCGACTAGTCACCGATTATTTGACTAATCAGATCATCATCCATTGGACGTAAAACGTACAGCTTATTGCACCAGCAGCATCTGCTCTTATATA